ACGAGAGACGAGAGAGAGAGAGAGAGAGAGAGAGAGAGAGAGAGAGACAGACAGACAGACAAAGAGAGAAATAAAAACATGGGAGGAAAGCAAGCAACTCACCACCTGGAGTCATCCTCCTGGATGCAACCTTCTGATGCGGAGGAGACACCGTTCCTGACCAGAGAAATGAGCAACCTCTCAAAGTAGGGACATTTTCTCCCTCGTGACCACAGCTAGTCAGGAATCTTTTCATACAAACCCAGCCCTACCGTAGTGGGCTTCTCTACCTGGACTCAGGTTGGGCATGAGCAGAACCCTCACCAAACCAAACACTTATCTCATGGACAGCAGCGTCTCCTCGGCTCCCAGATGGACGGCTTTTGCGTGGCATCAACAATGCTCAGAGTTTCGACGCTCTCGCTCGCTTTCCATCGCATGAGGGCAGTAGACTCTGACGCGTGACTTCTTTTTCCTTGATACTAAACCTAGCGGCGGGAGGGAGGAAACAAAAAAATTAGCATCTCCGTCTGTAATGTCGTGTAGTCTCTTCATTTCACATCTCCCATATCCCACGGTCCGCCCTCAACCCATCTCCCATTACTATGTTACAACTGCAACTAGAAGGCACCCATTGTAACGGCACCCAAAATACTCACTTTGCTCAGGAGACTCGTCCCTTCCCCAGCCTTAATCCCAGAGCCTCGTAACTAACAAGGAAGCACACGGCCTATGAAGAATACTACAGCGAGCACAGATGAGGAATTCAAAGCACTGACCGCTTACTCGCAGCCAGTTATGCGGGAGTCAGAAAGCTGAGGACTGTTCATGTCTGCTTACAAGGATGTCCAGTCTGCTCATGTCCAATTCTGCCACTTTCTCCTCGGGCTGGGGCTCTTGGAAAATTCCTCTGTATGTGCAGCTGCAAAAGCCGAGCATGAGACATCACTACTTAAAGCTCCATATGTCGCTTCAAAACTTGCCCTCATCCTGGCCTCCCTCTCCGATCCCATCTACATCAGCCCCACTCGATGAACAGAGACCGAGTTAACACCAACAGTCACAGCCCTGCATGATTTTCATCCCCTCCTACTTTTCCATGGCTCCCGAAACCTGGCCTGCGGAGATGCACACCTAGCAAGCCTGCCTGTCTCCTACGAAGGGAGACGGCACGAGGAACGGAGAGAAAAGAGAGTGAGAAAGTTGGCCAACACATTAGAGAAGAGAGAGAGAGAAAAATGAGAGGAAAGCAAGCAACTGACCACCTGGAATCATCTTCCTGAATCCAACATTACTCTGCGGAGGAGACACCGTTCCTGACCAGAGAAATGAGCAACCTCTGAAAATAAGGACCTTTTCTGCCTCATGACCACAACTAGTCAGGAACCTTTTCATACAAACCCAGCCCTACCGTACTGGGCTTCCCTACCTGGACTCCGGTGGAGCGTAAGCAGAGCACTCACCAACCCAGACACTTCTCTCACTGACAGAAGCGACTGCTCCACTGCCAACTGGTCGGCTCCTGACTTGCATCCACAATGCTCGCGGGCTCACTGCTCTCGCTCGCCTTCCATCCGACGAGGGGCGTAAACTCTGATGTTTCATTTCTTTTCCCTCAGTACTAAACCCA